GTTGGTTTTATTGCAAAATAATCAGTGTTGAATAATCAGTATTGGCTTTAAATAATCAATTGTGTATTTTATTGCAAAATAAACCACATGTATGCTATCTAGGTCCATGTGCTATTGGCTTTAAATAATCAGTGTTGCTTTGGACTGCAAAATTGGTTTTAAATAATCAGTGTTGCTTTCTTATATTGGATTTTACTGCTTTGGACAGTGTTGAATTTTGTTCTTTCTTTAAGTTATTTTTTTTTTCTTTTGTCCTAATGAAATAGATGGAAACAGTGCTCAGTTTATATTGAAGCTAAAACATGGTGGTCGCCTTAAAGTTAAAGGAGTAGGATATGTTGGAGGAATTAGTCAACGTTTTACTTTGGACATTGATTTATGGGGGATGATAACATTAAGGGAGACAGTTGAAGAATTGGGATATAACATGCTAGACAAGTTTAAGTATTTCACACTTACTAATTCAGGAGAATTATTTGAATTAGTAAATGACAGTGACTGCTGGGCAATTTCTGATTTTGGAATGTTTCCTAAGGAGATTGAAGTGTGGGTTGTTTGTGGTGAGTCTGGTGAGGCTGAGGGTGATGGTGATGGGTCTGCAGAGGGTGAATATACTTACAGTGATGAGTCAGACAGTGTAGAGGACTATGAGCACAGTAATGAAAGTGGTGAAGATGATGACTTAGACTTTGAGACTAATGTAGATCCAAATGTGGAGTTTGAAGGGACTGGGAAAGGGAAACAGATTGGGAGTGTGGCTGGGAAAGGGAAACAAGTAGGGAGTGTGGCTGGGAATGGGAAAGGGAAAGGGAAAGAGACTGTGGATGGGAGTGGGAGTGTGCCTAGAGTAGTTGAGGATGTTGGCTTGAATCTGTCAGATGAAGATAGTGGAAAAGACAGTGATGAAGAACAGAATTATAAATGGCCAGTTTTCAGGCCTAGCACTGATTTGAAATCCCCTAAGTTTTGTGTTGGATTAACATTTGGAACAAAGGGTGAAGTGAAAGATGCAGTCCACAATTATGCATACAACAATGGCAAGGAATTAAAGTTCACTAAGAATGATAAGATGAGGATGTATGTAAGATGTAGACAAGAAGGATGCCCTTTCAGAATTAATTTATGGAAAGAGAAAAATGCAATGTCTTGGAGCATTACAACTTTTGATGAAGAGCATGATGGATGTGGTTGGGTGTATAAGAATAGAATGGTGAAATCAAGTAGACTTGCCAAGAGATGGATAAAAGAGATTGGAAGCAACTTAAACTGGACAAGTGCACAGTTTAGAGACAGGGTGAACACTGACGAAGGAATGAAGATAAGTAACAAGAAAGCCTATAGAACAATAAAAAGAGCAAAGGCAGTAATTGAAGGAGATGCACTGGAGTTTTTTAACAAGATTTGGGATTATAAATTAGAGATTGAAAAAACTAACCCAAGGAGTTCTTGCCATGTCAAGGAAACTGAAAAGATATATGATGGAAAGACAAGATTTCTTAGGATGTACTTTTGTTGGAAAGCTTGCAAGGATGGATATAAGTTCTGTAGGAAGATAATTGGAGTAGATGGCACACATCTAAAGAACAAGTTTGGAGGACAACTTTTAACTGCTGTGGGTGTAGATGGAAATGAAAGTATATTCCCATTGGCTTATGCCATTGTAGAAGGAGAAACAAAAGATTCATGGATTTGGTTCTTGCAGTATCTTCAGGATGACCTAGAGATCACACCACAAGCTGAACAGCAACTAACATTTATTTCAGGTATAGAATTATGAGTTATCAATCTGAATTTTGATATTTTTAATTCTGATTTTTTGAATTTTGAATTCTGATTTTTGATAATTGAAATCTGCCTCTGCACTAATTTTGTTTACTCCTTTTTTTTTTTTTTTTTTTTTTTTTATATTATAGACAAACAGAAAGGTCTCTTGCCTGCATTTGAGCAAGTGTTTCCAAATGCCACACATAGATTTTGTGTTAGGCATCTCCATGGGAACATGAAGTTGGCAGGTTTTGTGGGCAAGGCAATGAAGGATTGTTTATGGGCAGCAGCCAAGGCAACAACAGTAAACAGCTTCACTGATGCTATGGAGGAGATCAAGAAGTTAGATATGGATGCATACTTATGGCTAGCTGAGAAACACCCTTCAGAATGGTCAAGGTCTCATTTCACAACTTTTTCTAATTCTGATGCATTAGTGAACAACATATCAGAAAGTTTCAATGCCATGATTTTAGATGCAAGGGCAGAACCACTAATATCTTGTGTAGAATCTATTAGGAAGTTACTTATGGCTAAATTTTTTGAAAATAAACAAAAGGCTACTAAGTGGAAGGGTCCATTCTGTCCTTCAATAATGAAAAAAATTTCTGTAATTGAGAGGGATGCTTCTGGATGTTTGGCTACTCAAAGTGATGATAATCTATTTGAGATAAAGTGCATGGTAGGGTTAGAGGGGTTAGAGCAACATACATTGGATTTGTTTAGGGGTAGCTGTAGTTGTAGGAGGTGGGAGTTAACTGGGATACCTTGTAAACATGCTATGTGTGCCATCTCGATGAAACATGGAAGAGGGCCTGTTCATAACTATGTACACCCTTGCTACTCAATTAACAATTACTTGAATACCTATGGAGGGAGGATAAACCCACTTTCTGGTCCAAGTGAATGGCCAAGGTCAGACAAGGAACCTCCATTGCCTCCACTATACACAACCAAGGTGGGAAGACCAAAGAAATTGAGAAAAAGGGGCAGAGATGAACTCACCAAGGATGGGACACATATGAACCCTAACTTGCTAGTTAAGCATTGCAAGAAATGCAATAAGACTGGCCATAACTCTAGAACATGCCCTCAAGATCCTTCTACAAATCAAAGAAAGGTATTGACAACAACTACTTTTAATGTATGCATATATTTACTGTTAAAAGAAAGATATTTACTATAATCCATTGTTTGTTTGTGATGTAGCTGAAACCAAGAAAAAGGACAAGGAAGAACAAATCCGGGACTCCACTTCCATCATCTACTAGGACTCCAGCTGCTAGGACAAAGAAGAACAACTCTGGGACTCCAGTTGCAGCAGCTACTAGGACAAGGAAGAACACATCTGGGACTCCACTTGCAGCAGCAACTAGGACAAGGAAGAACACATCTGGGACTCCACTTGCAGCAGTTACTGGGACTTCACTTGAAGGGAGTAGTGTTGCAGCTGAAGACATGACTGAATTTTGGAATGAAGCAGCCGAGGTGGCAGCAATGTATGACAATGGACCTCAACCTGATGAAATCGCAATTACACAGCCAGAGTATGGGGTTGACATTACACAGCCAGAGCATGTTTCTGTTAGACCTCGTCCTCCCAAAAGGTCTAACTTAGGGTTGACATCAAGGAACAAATTACCAATTCAGAGGGCACCTATGACAAGATCTAGGACAACACTGAAGTGCAGGTTCACCAACACCGTGGATACACCTGTGAACATCGAATGAATGACATTAAGATGTCCTTTTTTTGGTTCCATGTAATCACTGTTTAAGCCTTGTATTTTTGACATCAAAACTGACATTCTTGCTTAGCTTTTAAAACTGAAATTGGCAGTGAATGTAATGGTGTTTATTGGCAGATTCTTACTAAAATTGGCAGTGGTAATCAGTGAATGAATGTTGTGTAGCTTTGCTTTGTAAAACTCAAATTGGCAGTGAATGTAATTGTGTTTTTTGGAAGCATTGATAAACTAATTTGTGTATTTGCTTTGTAAAACTGGCAGTGAAACCATCAACTGAATTTGAATAAACTCTTAAACTGCTAAACTGAATAAACCAAATATCCAATGAAACCAAATATCCATTGATAAACTCATAAACTGAATTTGAATAAACTGATAAACTGAATATGAATAAACTGAATAAACCAAATATCCAGTGAAACCAAATATCCATTGATAAACTCAAATATCCATTTGCTCCCTACAAATAAACTGATAAACCAAATATCCATTGATAAACCAAACACCAATTATGGAAGCATATACATGTTGCTCCCTACAGATACAACAATTGAAAGATAAGAAATTAATAGTACAATAAGGGCAACTGTAACCAACATCATCATGGATCTACATTTTGTATTCCTACGATTATTCTTAATTTGAATGTCTTCCCATTTGCTCAACTTGCATTTTAAATATGCGTTTTCTTCTTCACTTTTGTTAACTTTCTTCAATAAGCCCGGTATAATCTTCTTTGACCTAGGGCACATTGGGGGATCGAACCAAGCCACGAATCCATCCTGATAAATTTGCACAAATTAAAACACCAATATAAGTAATTCAATTTCACATTTCTGAATCATCAAACTAAAAAAAAAAAGAAAAAAAAAACATATTTATCACCATGGATACAGCTTAAAATTTTTTAAAAAAACAAAAACAAAAAAAAAACAAATTTATCCAAACAAATTTAAAAATTTGCATCTAACCTTGCATCCTAAACATTCCCAGTACCTCCTTCCCGGGTTCTCGTTGGTCCAAGATGTTCTCAAAACCATTTCTTGCCCACATTCACAAACTTCAATCGAAATCCATTCACCATATACCTTTCGCCTTGTAGTTGATGAACTGGAAGAGTTACAACTTCCTCCTTGCATTTTCCTTCGACCAGATTTGCCTGTTTAGAGAGAGTGTTCTTCGACCAGGACTGCTTCTTCTATCTGCCTCTTCGCTCGTCAATGTCGAATGAAGAACAGAACTAAATTATTGTGTTAAAATGGATGACGTAAGCTAAAAAGACGAAATTACCCCCTATTTAACATGCCATCTAACGGAAATTTAGACGGAGGACTAAAATTGTCCTCGTCATAATAAGAGTGTCCATAAATTGTCTGATTTTTTTAAAAAGGACTAAAATTGTCCATGCCACTATAAGTCTAGGACCAAAAATGTCTTTTACTCTTAAAATAACTCCATTTTTCGTTAATTGACCGATAGACTATATCAAACGATACATTTCTACTATTCCTTCACACTGTCCGCTTGTAGAATTTATCGAAGGAGAGATGAACTGGATTCAGCGGAAAATCTATCTATACAATGTTACTTTCGGCCTGTACATGCTCGATTGGTGGGAGCGATGTCTCTTCAGTATCCTCCATTATTGCCAGTTTTTGTTTGGTCTTTTGATTATACATAGTAGATCTGATGGTCTCCTGAATACTGCGCAATGAGTTTATTGTGTTCATTAATTCGATAGTAGATTGGGATTCTTAACGCTTTTTAGATATTCTGATGGTTGTGCTGCTGTGGTTTGTTTGTACGAGGTGTTTCGATCTGCTTCACAGTTCTCTGAAAGGTATAGTCCTTTAATTTCTACCCCAAATAAAATTTGGTTGCTCTTCCACCGTTCTGCTAATTGTTGTTTTGTGGAAATTAATGATTGGAAACATTAATGAGTATTAAGCTTAAGACTGCCCTTTCTAGAAATTAATTGAGACCACATTGGAAAAAGAACAGGCTAGTGGTTGACATAAATTGAGTTTGCAAATTGTAGATGCTGTTAAGTGTATTGAGTTGTCAATAGTTTTATGTTGTACCGGAAGTTGTTTCTGTGCTTCTAAATTGGACATTTTAGGCATTTTTGAATCGAACTGCAATATATGTTAAATAAATTTGAGAGTCTTCTAAGGATAAAGGGAGGAATATTGGTACTAACAGAGAGAATAAGCTAAGTGATGTCTTTCTTTAGACTTTTGGCATAGTTAAATTACCTCATATTTGGTACTTTATTCCTCTCTTTGTTTTTGGTGAATGCTTTTTATGCGCTTTGATCTCCTTTCTCTGTGAGCTTGTTCAATTCTTTAGTTCTTCAAGCTTTAAGTGCAGAAGAAGAATTCTATCTCATTTGGTTATGTTACTGTTTTAGGCTTCTCATGTAATATTTTTGTTACTCCATATTTGTTATATCCATATAGTAGCAAAAAGAGTGATTGTTTCATATGAGAAGATAAAAATAGAAATCTTTCATTCAGAAGTATGGTTGAGACTTGAGGCTCAATGGTTAGTGCCTGCCATGAGCCCATGACTAGCATTTCCTTGCCACTGGGATAAGTCCCCTTAGTGTACTCCTGATTTGGTATATTTAGAGATTTGATTCGCTTTTCCTTTATTTGGTAAACACATCGATTGAGTCTGTCGGATCACTAGATGATTGATAGAACTACTCTTGATTGGGAAAATTTTGAGACTTCATTAACTTTACCTTTATTTGGTAATTCATTGTTCGAGTCTGTCAGATCACTAGATGATTGGTAGAACCACTTTCTAGAATGGTAGAATCTATGGTAACAAAAATCATAAATCTGTGCTTCTAGAAAAGGATTGCGTTGTTATACAGTGATGCCATAATGTATACTTCTTTTTATTTATTTCTAAAGCAGTGTTGTAAAAATTGGCCTAGGTGCTAGGCGCCCCTAGGCCAAAGGGAAGAATGAGAAATTCACCATATTAAGCACTTGACCAACTAGGTGGCTGTTTGTTTTTTAATCTTTTATTTTATTTTTAATTTGCTTGTCCCAAATGGGTTGTATGTGTTATAGTTGGAGTATTATGTGTTTTTACAGTATTATGTGCTATTGAACATTTCTATTATATGGGAAGAATACTTGCTAGAAGCCTAGAAGAAAAAAAAACATATTTTATTTATTTATTTATTTATTTTTTCAGTTAGGTGCCCATCAAATGCCCAATGGGTGCCTATCCATTTTTGCAACCGTGTTCTAAAGTAAATAAACTAATGATGCCTACAGTCTAGCTTCTCTCTTTTTTGGCATTGCCATATGTATTTCTAGCAGATTAGCCACATTTAAGTTTTATGGTTCTGATTGAAGTTTTATCTGACTTCTCATGTATTTACATTTTACTGATGCTTCATTATATATTTTGAAATTACAAGCATATATGGTATATTCCTGAACCATAGAAGCTCTACTCTTTGTTGTAACTAAGAGAATTTATAAATTTATGTTTTTTTTTTTGATTTTTTGTTTTGTTTTGTTTTTTGTTTTTTTGTTTTTTTGTTTTTTTTTTTTTTGTTTTTCTGTAGAAATTTATTGCACTGGCATAGTGGTATATATATATATATATATATATATATATATATATATATATATATATATATATATATATATATATATATATATATATATATATATATATATATATATAGAATTAAGTTCCAGTGCGGGTAATGTTTCCCGTGCGGTTGTGCGATTTTAATGTGCGTGAGTTTTGTGTTTAAGGCGCGTGGGTGTGTACTTAATGTGAGTAGTGTTGAAACTTAAGGTACATGAGTTTTGTACTTAAGGTGCGTGAGTTTTGTACTTAAGGTGCGTGTGTTTTGTGCTTAAGGTGCGTGAGTTTTGTACTTAAGGTGCGTGTGTTTTGTGCTTAATGTGCGTGAGATTTGTGTTCTTAATGTGAGTAGTTGTTGAAACTTAAGGTGCATGAGTTTTGTACTTTGCGTGAGTTTTGTGCTTTAAGGTGCGTGAGTTTGTGTTATGAAGGTGTTTTGTTTGTGTGCTTAATGTGCGTGTGTTGTGTACTTTAAGTGTGTCAGTTTAATGCTTAATGTAAAACCGCACGGGAAGCACTCCCCGCACACGATCCCTTCCCTATATATATATATATATATATATATATATATATATATATATATATATATATATATATATATATATATTTTCTTTGCCCTTATCTTTCTTCTACAAGTTAGAAAAAGAATTTGGAAACTAGAATGATTATTTGTTTTTATCGTAAAGCTTTGTAAAAGTACATGTTTCTTGTTAAGCAGCTCTAGAAATTTTCTTTTGAGGTAGTTCAATGTGTTCCCAATTTAAATAATGTGGCAATAAGCAGTGGTCAAATGTTTCAAAATGCTCCACTTCTTAAAAATTGCTAAAATGCTCCACTTCTTAAAAATTGCTAGCAAACTAATGTTTTCTGTGATACCTTATTTTGTATTAGCTTGGATATTTACTCTGCAAACTGAAGTGGATATTATGTGAATTCCTTTTTGTGAGTTCCCCATTGATCTTTTCCCCCACCTTTAAGGATAGATAGCTAATAAATGAAAATTTGCTGGTTTTCTGGGCAAATTTTATCGTGGACCATGTTCTATGTAGTAGCGTGGACCATGAAGTATGTATCATTTTAATTACGCTTCAGTTTCGTTTGACAATATTGTTATGTTTTTTAATTTCATTTTCCCTCCACACTAGTTTCATTATAGCAATACTAAAATATCATTTTAATTCTACTATAGTTTCATTTGATAATATACATCATTGCTTGAGCTCTATTTTTTTGTTTCATTTGCCACACATACTAGTTTAGTTATAGTAATGTTGAAGTATAATTTTAATTGCACTTCAGGTCATTTGACAATATATGTTATTATATGGTTTTGGATTTTAGTTTCATTTTCCACACACATTAGTTTCATTATAGTAATACTAAAGAATCATTTTAATTAGAGAAAATTTTAATTTTGGTCATATGACTATAGGGGTCTTGTTAATTTCAGTCCTTGACTTTTAAAAGTGTCAATTTAGTACCTTAACTATGTAATTTTTGTCAATTTTGGTCACTTTGGCCAAATTACCGGCCAAATTTCGTCGAAAAATTTTAATTGTTAAAATAATGAGAGTATTTTGATCATTTCACGTATCTTTTCTTCTTCCTAGGCGAGTCCATTCCTTCCTCTCCCGTTTCCGGTGAATGCAATGAACTAAGATGATGGGGAAAGGAGGCTTGATGATATTAAAGATAGGGTTTAGAGGGAGAAAGAACGCCGGAAACGGGAGAGAAAGAGATGGACTCACCGAAGAAGAAGAAAAGAGGCGCGAAACGACCAAAGTACCCTCATTATTTTAACAATTAAAATTTTCAGGCGAAATTTGGCCAGAGTGACTAAAATTGACAAAAATTGCATATTTAAGGTACTAAATTGACACTTTTGAAAGTCAGGGACTGAAATTAACAAGACCCCTATAGTTATATGACCAAAATTGAAATTTTCTCTTTTAATTATACTACAGTTTCATTTGACAATAATGTACTCTGTTTTTTTTTTTTTTTTTTTTTTCATTTTCTACACACTAGTTTCATTATAGTAATACTAAAGTATAATTTTAATTCTACTACAGTTTCATTCGACGATCATGGTCCACACAGCGATGTGTGGACCATAGTCCACTGTATAACAACTGGTTTTCTGCATGTACCTTTTTTTTTGGTCAAAAACTTGTGTGAGACCATCCGTGAGATGGGCTGGGCCAAGATGAAAATGTAAATTTGTAATACTTATACTAGAATATATAAGGAATAAGGTTCAAATTGGACACTGAACGTAACCTGAAAATGCAATTAGGCCACTGAACGAAAAAAAGTGCAATTAGACCACTGAACACTCTAAATGATACTTATAAGAGAAGTTATAATACTTTTGAAGAAAAATATAATATTTTTGTATTTTGATTTAAAAGTATTTTTCTTCAAAATATTAGATTTTCCTTTATAAAGTAACAAACACTTTATTATTAATTAGTATTACATTTTATAGTATAAGTATTATATTTTCATATTGACTCGATCTATCTGATAGGAGAGTTATTTTTTTTAGGGAGCGTTATGTCCTGGACCCGTGTCCACCATGTGCATGGTGGACACGCTATACATTCATAATTTATATATTGTAGATTTATAATTTCTATACTGTAGAATCATAATTTTTATACTGTAGATTCATAAAATTTATAATGTAGATTCATAATTTCTATATTGCACATTTCATAATTTCTGTACTGTAGATTCATAATTTCTATACTACACATTCATAATTTCTGTACTGTAGATTCATAATTTTTATATTGTAAATTCATAAAGTTTATAATGTAGATTCATAATTTCTATACTGCACATTCATAATTTCTGTACTGTAGATTCATAATTTGATAACTATACAATTTAGAAATTATGAATCTACAGTACAGAAATTATGAATCTGCAATATAGAAATTATGAATTTACATTATAATCTTTATGAATCTACAGTTTAGAAATTATGAATTTACAGTATAAAAATTATGAGTGTATAGCGTGTTCACCATGCACATGATGGACACGGGTCCATAGCATAATTTGCCATTTTTTAGTAACTCTTGTATGTCATTTCAGGCAATGCGGGAGTTGTATGAAGCAGCTAGCGGAGTTGAAAATGATTGCAGTTGGGGGTAGATTATGAGTTAAGTATGGTTAAGGGTCCTGCAAGTTTGCCGTTCTAACATGATCAATCCAACTATTGTCAATAGGGCATTTACTGTGTGGTAAGGTTGTTTTATGGACAAAAACTCCCTTTTGTAGGATGGACAAAAGCAATGTATTTATTTAGGTTTTAATTTTTCTTTTTATTTTCCCACGGTGTTTCTATTTGCATATTATTCTCTTTTGTTTTTGCATGTCACTGAATTTGTGATAGTTCTCAATTTCGTCGTCTGTTAAGCAGCAAGGCAACTTTATTCTCTATTAGTGTTTTCTAATGGGTTAATTCCTAAATATCTTTCGACTATAGTCTTTTCTCAAATTAATTTTTGACTTTTAATTGCATCTAAAGTGGTCCTTTGACTATTGAATTTTAAGTCAAAATGGTCTTCCGTCAACTTTGGTGTTAAGTACGTGTTAAAATGAAGACAAAAGTGACAATTTATATTGTTTATTGTTTAGACCATTGAAAAACTCATTTTTTATTTTATTTTATTTTTTAAACTTGACCCTTTTGAAATGGTATTCTCATGGCTAACAAAAAACACTGTGAAACGTGAAAATCATATGTTAAAATGTGAGACAATGTTGGGGTGGGTGGGACAGACCAAGACCAAATTTGAAATATTTGGCAAACATAAATATGGAAGGGGCTATCTTTTTACTCGGATGGAATAGTTTTGATATACATATATGTATTTCATATGGATTGTCTTTTATATATGTTGATTCATGGATCACTCTCATTCACACTCATTCCATTCACCTCTGCTATATATCAATGCCATGAAAGAATCTAATCTTAATGTTACAATAACATTGTACATTTACTACCATTGCATCTCTCATGCAAAATTATATATTCGCAGCTTACATTCAAAGGATGCCATAATGATTGCATGACTAATTGGGGCCGCTCTGCATGCCCAAATGTACATATATACATGGCAGTGACAAGACATATAAAGATGATAAAGGCAATAGTTACTCCCAATGAAAAACCATAAAAAGTGTACTAGGGAAAAACTTTCATCCTATATCCTCGTCCTGATTTTGTTCCTATATCCTCGTCCTGATTTTGTTGGAGGAAAAAATATATAATAAAAGATATGGCTTATAGTCTAATATATACATGCAATGTGTTCTTAAGATTTCTCTAGTTTATATAATTTTCTTGTTTTTCCATATATGTTCAATATATTTCTCTAGTTTATATGATTTTTAAAACAACAAACAATATAAATTGTACATTTTGGGGAATTAACCCTTTTCTAAGTGATAAAACAATTAGTATGCAAAAAATATACATACATACATACATACATACATACATACATACATACATACATACATACATACATATATATATATATATATATATATATATATATATATATATTCAATAATTCAATTATTTATAAATTCTATATATAGTGCAAAAGAAATAAATAAATTATTAAAATATTATGATATTCTAGCAATCTCTTATTATTATAAGGGAAAATGACCGTATTAGTTTATTAGTTATACTTAAATTGTAGACTGAGTTTATGAATTATTATTGATGATTTTGTTCGGATCGGGTCTACCATAAATCGGAAGTAGAGGTACAGAACAAGATAGGAAAATAATAGTATTATTGCTCGGGGTGTTGGGCCCAAAAAAGTGCATACAAAGCCCGAGATACTGGTCCAAAATTGTAGCCCAAATAATAAATAAGAGAAAATTACACTTTTGGTCCTATGACTATAGTGGAGGTGGTAATTTCAGTTTGTGACTTTTAAAAGTAACAGATTTAGTCCTTTTAGTAAGCTTTTTTTTACACATTGAGTCCTTCCGGCTAATTTGCCGGTAGAAATCCGCCAGAATGTCAATTGGATTTGTTTATTAATTTTTTGGGAGGGGTAAAATCGTCCGTTCAGGCCATAGAAAAGGGGGAAAAACGACTTCCCACTTCCCACCTTAATTAAACTACACGCAGAAGGGTTTTCAGTTCTGGGAGAAGCGAAGGAAGCAAGAGACGAAGTGGAAGAGAAGCAATCAGTCGCACCACTCGCACGCTCCATTCTCCATCAGGTCGTCCTGGGTATGGCTAATTCATATTCTTCTTGTTCTTCTAATTCTGCTACTGAGTACTATGAATTTGGGGAAAGGTTTCCAATTATCCATTGTAGATGTGGTGAACAATTGAAAATTCGAACTTCATGGACAAATGAAAATCCCGGTCGTAGATTTTGACAATGCTCCGGTGCTATTGTAAGTTTTTGTTTTTACAAGTTTTTGTAATTTTTGTACCGGATGTATGAATGAAATTGAATAAATGTTCTTTGAATTAATCCAGGGTAATGTGGGATGTGGATTTATTGATTGGTATGATCCTCCAATGTGCTATCGTTCAAAGAGAATAATTCCGGGATTGCTAAGACGCATCAACCGACAAGATGAAGAGATACAGAAATTAAATATGAAGCTTAAAGGTAATAAAGATGATGGCAAAGTGGTTGGTAGTTCTAAGTGGATGAACAAGTTTGTAGCAGTTCTTGTTGTAATAGTTGCACTAATTATTGGTTGTAAGTTTTGCTAGTGAACTGATCCAAAGAAGTGTTCAGTATTTGTAATGTGTTTTGGTAATTTTTGAATTGTGTAATGGTTGGTGATGTAAGGATCATGGTAATGTAAGATGTATGGTATGTTGTGTTAATGTAAGATTTATGGTTTGGTTACTTAATGTAAGGATGATGGTTTATTTTGTTAATGTAAGGATGATGGTTTGTTTTGGTTTACAATTCAGCAATGTGTGACTCTTTTAGCAACACTGTAAAAGCCCATGATTTAACAGTTAGAGCATAACATTATGACCAAAACACTGCATACCATAATCTCATAGTTATCATACATTATGACCAAAACAAGCTGCTTTCAACAGTTTGTAATCATTTAGCAGCCAAATCAGTTACCAAAACATACATACAAACTAACTTCATCAAAACATACATACAAACTAACTTCACATGCATTCACTCAATGTCAATTGGGTCATCATGGTTGCCAAAGAACTTGGACTTCAACACAGTCTTGCTCTTTGTATAGTATGGCTTTTTCCTGTTTGATTGCTTCACTTTGGTTCCCTTCTTGGATTTGGCTGGCTGTTGGTTCATCTGAGGTTCTCCTGATCCACTCTGTTCCCCTTGTCCATGCTGGGCATCAACCTCATGCTGCCCTAATCCACTATGTTCCCCTTGGCCATGTTGATCATGATCCTGCTGCTGCCCTAAGCCACTATGTTCCCCTTGGCCATGCATCTGCTGTCCTAATCCACTCTGGTGCTCTCTTGTAGGCATATTGATGGGGATTTGGTGAGTGGCATAGATGACCATCTTCTTTGGCTTCAACTGAAAAACATAGAGTTTAGGTTACAATTGTTTTATATACAGTTTACTGTAATCCAACATAATATAATACTACACCTTTTTATTTGGATTAGATGGACACTTCCTAGCATTATGCCCAGCTTCCCTACATACAGAACAGTGCAGTTGAATGTGGTTTCTTGACACTCTATTTCCATCTTGGGTCAACTCAGCAGCTGATCTTGTCCTTAACTTTTTGGGCCTCCCAACCTGAAAAGCACCAACAAATGAAATCAGTTTTGATCCAGCAGAGAGTTAAAGGATAAGGGTCAGCAATCAAGCAATCACCTTAGCAGAATACAAGGGTGGCAATGGGGGTGGTATATCACACCTAGGCCACTCAGCAGGACCTGCCATTGGGTTGATACTTGCATTGTATATCTTCATATATGTTTCTTTTGAGTAGCATGGATGGACAAAGTCAAACACTCCACCTTTCCCAAATTTTTTCCATATACCACATATTGCATGCTTGCATGGAATGCCTGTCAGCTCCCACCTCCTACAAGAACATTGTTTTCTTTCAAGGTCAACTTGTTGTTGATCCCCATATAAGTGTCTAACCTCAAACTTGAAGAAATCACGTTGTGTTGCTAAGTAACCAGATGCAGCCTTCTCTATTTGCTTCAACTTCCTGACAATCTTAGGACATATCAAGGACTTCCATTCTGCAGCTTTCTGGCTATTCTCAAACAACTTAGCCATAATCATTTTCCTTATAATTTCTAGGCACTCAATGATAGGCTTGTTCCTTGCTTCCATTATAGAGGCATTCCAAGACTCACAAATGTTATTCACTAACATGTCGCAATGGGATTTTGTAGAGAAGTGAGATCTAGACCATTATGTTGGGCTTTTATCACCTAACCATTGGTATGCAGCTTCATCTAATCTCCTTAGTTTATACAAAGCATCAGTGTAAGCATTTACAGTGTTTGCCCTAGCACAAGTCCATAATGCATCCTTAATAGCCTTACCCTGGAAACCTGCCACCTTCATATTTGCATGTAGGTGTCTCACACAAAATCTGTTTTCCACACCAGGTAGCACTTCATCAAAGGCTGGAATTAGACCCTTCTGTTTGTCACTTATGAAGCAGTACTCATCCTCCTCTGTATCACTTATCTGCATATCATCTTTCAACAGCCTTAGAAACCATATCCAAGATTCCTTTTTCTCTCCTTCTACAATAGCATAAGCTAATGGAAATATACAGTCATTTGAACTCACAGCAGTCAGAAGCATCCCTCCAGTTTCAGATTTAAGGTGACAACCATCTACCCCAATCAGTCTTCTACACATCCTGAAGCCTTCCTTGCTGCTTTTCCAACAAACATACATTCTCAGAAATCTTTCCTTCCCACTTCCATCTTTTAAGTCACTCAACTTAACAAGACATGATGACCCGGGATTTGTTGTCAAGACTTCTTCTCTATAACTCCAAATCTTTTTGAAGTTGGCTTCCTCATCACCTACTCTTATCTTCTTTGCCTTCCAAATAGCCCTATATGCTTGTGAATCACTCACATAAAATCCCTCCTCTGTGCAAACCTTATCTTTGAACTTTCTCATCATCCAATCTGGGTGATCTTTTAATTGAGTTGCCCACCTCTTAGCAGCAACACTTGATTTCACCATTGAGTTCTCCCAAACCCAAGAACAACCTTCATGTTAATCTACCATGTTCAAAATCCTCCATGCAAATGACCCTATTACTTTCCTCAACCCTATTCTCCAAGGGCAACCCTCCTGTGTACACTTAACAATGACCCTTTCCCTGTCATTTTTTAGAGTTCTAATTTCTTTGCCATTAT